TAACATGCTGATTTAAGTGTAGTGGATTTGAGTTGCTTTAGGAACTCAAGTGTGAGCGCTTTGGGACTACGAAAAGATGTCAACGGTTCAAAAACGAGAAATAAATTGTTGAATCATTAATGTCCAAAAGTGGGTTTCAGGCCAATAATTTTAGAAATTGTCAGATTAATGGACTATATGTCACTTTTAATTAATTAAATAGATCGAGACCAAACGGGGTTGATTGTAGAAGCAAAAAATAATAATAACATTCGGGTTAAAATTATTTTAAAATGCCAAATAATAGCTTTGGGTTGAAAAAATGATGGATTCATATTATACTATATATTTTACCCTAATCTTAGTTATAATTTATTGGTTATTTTGGTAGAATTTTGATACTTTGCTTTATATTTTCAACATAGGACATTCGACTTCCTCTGTAGCAAAACATGAGCAAACTGATAATTTTTGGAGTGATTCAAATTTGAGGACATTCATGTTTTCCTTATCTTGTTCGTATCAAAATTTGGGATCTTTCTACCAAGTGATTATTTTCTGGTGATTAAATGAAGAAGCAGTGCGCGTTGTTGGAAAGTGACGTTTCTGGGCTTAAACTGCATTTTTGGAGCCCAAGATGACCTCAGATGGGTTCGTGGCCTTCTGGAGAAGTGTTCCGAATAGTCCAAAATTTAAATCAAGCTATTTTGGGCCAGTTATGGAGCTGATTTGGGTCTACAACGTGGCTGTGCAGATTTTTGGGCGAATTTACCAAGTTAATTTAGGATTATGTTTCCTATTTTATTTCAATTTATTAGGTTTCCTAGTTTTATTCTAAGACCTTTTAGGGTTTTATTTTGTATTAGTATAAATAAGATATTTAGCCATTAGGTTAAGGGAGAGGAGAAAACGCACGCATTTTGGCTTTAGAGAGCTTTTGACGATTCAAGTTTATTTTGAAGGTGTTTTCCATCCATATTTTTAATAATATTTTGTTTTATGATTATTCGTAACTAGTTTCGTTTGCTAGGGTGAGGCCACAAGCCCTAGCAAGAATATGTAGTTTCTTTTCAATTTACTTATGATATTATGCATGCAAGTTTTGAATTATTAATCACTATGCTTTAAACTATCTAATTGTCTTGATGATTAGCCACCATTACGATATTTAGAAAAGTAATTTGATGCAATTTTGGCAGAGGGCTATCCCTGGAATTGGCCTTGGCTTCTTTTGATTAATATGTGTAACTTCTTAGGATGGACAACACATTTTTATATGGTTTTTCAAAAGGATTTCACAAAACTTAATGAGTCTTGCATGTTCACATTCGATCTGGAAGCCACGGACGGGTTGATGTTAGATATACGTTCTATGTTGGAGGTTCCAAGTAGAATATACTTTAGGAAAACCTAACCTTCAAAATATGCATGTGTAATTCATAAGTAATTGGAAGAACTACGTAGGATTGTTAAGATGACGGCAGAACCCTAGTGCTCAAATTTATTTTCAAAACTATTTTCTTTTGTTTTATTTATTTTCCCAATTTATTCAATTGTTTTTAATTAAATTCGTTTTTAATATTTTAGATCATTAAATCACCTTTTTTCTAAATTTTGTTTTCAAATAATTAATTAGGATTTGATTTTAACATAGATTATTCATTCAATCCCTGTGGAGATCGACCTTACTTGAGCTGCTATACTACGATAACCTTGTACTCTTGCAAGTATTTTAAAGTATTTTTATCCCTACTTTTTCAAGTGGTAAAATCCCTATCAAGAAAATGGCGCCATTGCCGGGGATTGTTTTAAATAATTTGTGTTTATCAACTCTTAGTTAATTGTTTTTGTATATATCTTTTTATTTACTTGATTTTATTTTATTTTATTTTAGGTTACATTTTGTGCAACAATGGAATTTGTTCATCCTCCTGGATTCAATATACAACCAGGAAGACTACCTTTATGGATCAACTCTGCAGAATGGGGTTTTTATGGATTTAAAACTACAATTTGTGCACTTCGCTGTTTGAAGACCCATGATATTTTGCAATGTCCCAAAAGGGAATATTTTCCTGGGTTTGTCCAAGACCATACCAATATGATAAATGACTCAAAAAGAAATTGGAATAATCCATATTCAAAGTTCTACACCCTAAGTTTGCAAAACCATCTTGAGCTCTCTATTTTGAGCAGTCTAATATGCCGCAAGAGCTTTCAGTGGAGGATAAGCTCTCTAAATTGTTGGAATCAATTGAGTTATACATAGAAATAACTAATCAAGAATTTCAGATTCAACCATTAATAAACTGTGGGAAAAGCTATGATGATCAAGAGGAAATTGGTGCGGAAACCATAGAGCAATATGCCAGCCAGTCATGCCCAATGGAGGAAACACTACCTTCTGATCGTGAAACAATTTCCCCACAATCTTCTCCTCCCCAAGTTTATGTGCCACCATAACCCTTCCCAACAGGACTGCACGAATGCACAAGAATTGATATGTTAGAAGCTGTTCATTCAAAATCAGTACATTAGACATCACATGATCAACTTTTGACTACTCTAACCATTTTGGATTCGGAGCAACCAGCTACTGATAAGAAAATTTTGGTTGCTGAATTGGACACGCAAACATCACAATTCATCAAATTTAAAGAAAATCATGATCAATTCCGTGACAGCCAAATTCCTCGTAGAGAAATTCTACCAGTGCAGAGGTTGTGGGTGTTAAATACAAGGTTCAAGGCAGCTCGATGGAAACATAAACCTCATTGAAAACAACCTTATTTGATCACAAAGATTCATTCACATAGAAGTGCAATTATGAAGAATTCAACCACTGATAAACAATAACTCATTCCATACCTACTGTTGCCGTATGATGCTATCAAGAAGTGGTTAACTCGAAGGGAACAAGTGATGTGATCACCAATTTCTTTCAAATCTGTCTAGCTATAGACGTTAACTAAAGCGCTAATTGGGAGGCAACCTAATTTTTCTAACTCTTTTCTTTTTATTTTGTTTATTTTATTTTCCTGTTTTTATTCTTAATTACAAAAAATCACAAAAAAATATAATTAAAAAAAACATCAAAAAATTGAAAGAAAAAAAAAATTTGCAATCGTTCATTCTTGTTATTTTTCTTTACTTATCTAATTAGGTTTTTGATTTGTGATTGTAGGCTACATTTGGAATTGGTCTAATCGCAATTAATCGTGGATGCATAGCATTCATCCATTCACATCAGTATGCATTCAACTATTCATTCATCTCAGATACAGAAGGAGCACATGATGAGGTTCAGGGATACTCACAGTGGGGATGCTAGGAAGACCTCTATGGTAATGGACCCCTTTCACTCTCTCACACTTGATTCAAAATATAATTACATTGAAGTTTAGTAATGGGGATCCAAGCAGCACAGAGAAGAACAATCATAAGGACCATTCATATGCATATATTTTTGCTCAAGATAGATCTATGGATGCATGCACGGACAAAATTTACAAAGGTGAACTACAATTATCAGAGTTCCAGGTGGGCCATGATCCTCATGCTATGAAGAAATCTCAACCAATACAGTGGATGAAGCATGTTTTATACCTATTTAATTCCGAATCTGAAGATCTCGTGAAATCCACCGGATCTCGGGTTTGTTGTCCTTCATGTTCTTCATCTTTGCTATCATGTTTTTATGGGTGGACACGGGTCAAGCCCAGCAAAAGTTGGCCTTGGGTTGAGTTTGGGAAGCCCAGCCGAAGCTGGGTTTCACTGTTATTGGGTCGGGGTGAGCTAAGTCCAGTAGACAGGGTTGCAGGTAAGCAGGCCGAGGCGCAGGACAAGGCCTAACAGCCTATTGTTACTGGTATTTTGGGCCGGGGACACTTGGACAGATCAAAGGAAGGTTGTGGGCTTCCTTAGGGGGGTAGGTTAGGCTTTGGGCCCGAGGTAGCCAACCAGGCCTAAGACTTGGTGTGTCCGTGTGGTTGCAGCAAGGTCCAAAAGGGTTGCTGCCATGGTCCAGACGTTGAAACGATGTCGTCCTTGTGGTGTGCTCGATGCGGCTAGGCTATAGGCCAGCGTGGAGGACTACAATGGTGCCATGGTGGTGGTGCGGTAGCTATGCCACACCGTGCCCAATAATTGTTTTTTCCGACTGAATTAGGGTTTCAAAAACCCTAGAATTGCTTATAATTTATTTATATGCTTTGACTCACAAATTCCACATAGCAAAAATAATTGCGTAATGCATGAAATGTGTGTGTGTGTGTGTATATATATATATTGACAAATATATGAAACATATACAATATATATATCGGAAGGTAAATATAAATGTAGGGGGTTTATGCATTATGGAGAATGTTTTCATGCTTCATGATCGTTTCAAATATCTTCCTTTATTTTAAGTGTACCTAATTGGCAGAAAATAATAAAAGCCTTTAAGTTTTGTAGAAGATTCTTTTCGGAAAGCCGGAATTGCATCTCAAATGTGTTGCATCACGTTCAGCAAATAAAAATTAAATTGAATCAATAACATGTAGATCAATTTAATAAAATAATAAATTAATCATAAGAAAAATGATTAAAACGTAATATTTCCCTTGATTGAAGATCAAACTCTGTAACGCCAAGAGCGTTCTGATAACGTGTTATAGGCATAATTTACTGAACAATTATAGGGGCCAAAAAGAGAGGGTGTGACACATAATGAGAGAAGAGAGATGTGTAATTATGATGTGTGTTCTATTCCACTCCATTGTGCCTTTATTTATAATAGTAAGAAATGTTAATTTCTTACCCTTTTAGGATTACAACTCTAATATGATAATATATAGTCTAAGAGAGATATGGTAGAATCCCATATGAATATCTTAGATATGTTAGGATTTACACAATCATATTCCTATTCCAATAGAACTGAACGAGTTGAAGTTTTTTCTTAAAATTGATATTTAATCTGAATTTACTAAAACAAATAAGAAAATAAAAACAAAAAAGTGTTTCTCTCTCTCTCTCTCTCTCTCTCTCTCGATGTTACTCTCCCGCATCATCTGGTATCTAGAGCCCAGGTGTGCTTCCATGGGCAGAGGCCAGCATCGGTGTCCGTGGCCGACGTCTCGAAGGCGGTACTCAATCGGCAGTTTCCGCAGTAGAAAATCATCATTCAAATCCAGAACTTCTGTGACATGGTCACGATGATGCACCTCCATCAGTATGTTCAGGAGCACCAACTCACCGATCTGTAACATTCTCTCGCAGATCTGGCCATACTCAATGCTCGGCATGAGCAACTTCAACAGACTTGTCTTGAGGAGCTTCGTTATCTAAAAACCCAACCCACCACCCACTACAGCCCATATGGAGTACTTCTTCGCCACAGCCTATCGCTACCTTCCACCCGTCGAAGACCCCTTCCGCCGCCTGTCATTTGTCCTTTTCTCCCACCACGTCACCATTCCACTCCTCTTCCAACCTCGTTGCTTACTTACCCACCCTCAAATATTTACCCCAGCTACATGCCATTTCTCCCTCTTCTCAACCGCCCCCTCCACCGACCTTATTTACACCAGCGCACCCTCGCCGCTGTTTGGCACAGCTTCCTCGTCCCAACCGTCTATCCTTTATTGCTCCAACCACCCAATCGTTCCAAAGCTTCTCCACTTCCTCTTCAGCCTTCACATTACCAACATTCTCCCCTCTTTTGAAACCCACAACCCCCACTCCCACCACCGCTGCTCCTCCATCAACATCTGTTTTCAGCTTCTCCTCATTCGGAACGCCGACTTCCTCCACTTCGCAATCCTCCCCACCTTTCTCCGCTCTGTTTCTTTATACTCTCACGCCCATCCTAGCCCCGCTGCAACAATGGCTCCAATGGTAGTCCCTGTAACTGCTACAGCTCAGACATCGACATCACTTGTTGCTGCTTGTACACGTGGGACAACTTCAAATGTTAGCACTACGCTATTTACTACTCCAAAATTACCGTCTGAAACCAACGCCTACTCTGTAGGATCAAGCTTGTGCTCCTACTTTCATGCTGACGGTCTTGTCAATACCGTGCTGGTTAATCATGTTGCACCATCTCACTTGAAGGGTTACTTTCAGACTTGCAATGATTGTCGAGTTTTGCCACCGTTGGGTACCCCGAATGATGCGATGGAAAAACTCCCTCCTAAGGTGGATGTTCTTCAGATTGCCCACCCAATCCACCCACCTAAGGAACCAGACAAGGGCCGCCGTTGTCAGGTACCAATATTGTATTCTCCACTACGAAAGGCACGGTTGCATTTGGAATTTATTCCACATTATATGACCTTTGCAATGATTGTGTTTAATTCCTATGGGAGTAGAAGAAACCCACGATGTGTTTGACAAAAGGCAAAAGAGAGAAATTGCCCAGAACTATGTGCCTCACCGTTTATTCCTGATTAGAAATGTTGCGTGTGCTATTGAACCCATTTTGGTTTTTCAAACTACCTTTTTGACTCGCACTTTTGGATGGGTGAGTCTGTGCATTGTGGATAGTTTTGACCTGCATGAACTATACAACCAGTATATTAATTCCAAATTTGGAGAACCTAATGAGTACTTTGCTTACCTTGATACTTTTTCACAACCACAAAAGATTCCTCGCAAGCTGAAGTCGTCAAGGCAGTACAGGTAATATATGGAAAATCTACTCGCATATCTGATATATTTTTTCCAGAGGACATCCTTTTTAAGATCTTGACAGGATATTTTTGAAGGTTGAAACTGAATTTGAAGAGTAATGGGCACCTGGTAAGGTAAAAGGATGGGAAAATAAGAAGCAAGCAAATGGGCATGTTCAAGATCAGCTTACTATGCTCGATCTTGATTATTCTAGCATGGTGGAAGAACTTATGGCAGTGGGTTCAGAAAAGCTAAAGGAGGCACTAGCATCGTTAGGACTGCAGACGGGTGGTACTGTTCAGCATGCTGTTGAGACCACTTTGGATTCTCCCATGACCTTGTTGACGGGCACGTTTGCTGGGGTAAGTTTGTGTTCTAGGGATACTTTTTTCAGGATGATTGGGAACGCACCGAAGTGGGAATTTCCTGGTAGAGGTTCAATGATTTGTTCTACAATTTGGAACAATATTTGAACTCTGATGGCCAATGGTATTTTCTCCACTTTCATGAGTGGTTTGACTAAAGTAATTTCCACTTTTACTTTATCTAGACATATGATTGATGCTATGACATCAGTTTGTTTAGTTCTCTCCGATTGCTCCACTTGTGCTATAAAGTTTATACTTGGCAACCCACTTAGTGTATTTCCTACTCTATATTTTCTGGAGTACCTGCTTACAAACACAATTGGCAGCCAACTGCTTCAGGGACAAAAAAGGAAGCACACTGAAATTTCCAATGATAGTCTGGTGTTACTTTCAAGATGGTTCTGGACATCTATAATTAGTACATCAATGCCGATACAGGGAAGTGTTTTGAGCAGCCACTTCTTTGTAGTTGTTCTTTCCCAAGATCATGTGATAGGGCGAGCTGTCCCTAACAGTATGGTAGCGGTAAAACCAACTGCAGGACATCCAGTGGTTGCTGGCACTCCTACTTGGGCTGCTAATGCATATGCAGGACTTGATGCAACAGCTGATCAGATTCAACTTCTCAAGTTAATATTCTGTTATCTTCTCCATTGCATCATTCACCATGATCCAAAGCTCAAGCCCTTTCGCCATTCTAGGGATGAGAAAACATTGGAGGCCATTGAATTTGGACTCTATGCTTGTTCCGTACAACCAACCAAGCAATTGATCACTGTTGTAGAAGATACATGTTGTCTAGCCCCTCGGATTATACAAAGATCACATGGCACAAATACATATATGTATTGTGTTGGCTTGACCAATATAGTGGAAAAGCTAAGGTGTGGGGAACACATATGGCACGTGGACTGCAAAGACCTTCTACAAAGCCACTGCAAACTCATTATTATTCCAGTGGCCACATATTTGAATGCTAACAGTGATTTGGAATTCATTGCTCCACCGTTTGTAACTTCGGTTTGCGGCTCATATGAGTTTGAAAGCTATTTTCCAGAATATCTACATTTATTCAAGGCTCTTGTTGCTCTACACTTTCAGTGGTATCATGTTTTTGCAACTGTTGTCTCAATGTCCATGGTATTGACTGCTCCAAGCGCACTAGCAGTTTTATCCAACGAGTCCGAATCAGTTTTTTGTCAAGTATTCTCTGGATTTGTACCTCTTGGTTCTCTTGCGTTTACCTTGGTAAATGACTCACAGCAGTTGGAGCTCACTGTGAAAGTTGAGAAGTTGCTTGAACATCAAATCTCACTTTTCACTGATTATATATCTCAGAACTTTCATGGATTATGGTAGCAACAAGAGAAATTCTTACATGGCATCATAGTGTAAGCTTTTCTGTATTCCACCAATGGCCTGCCATCTCCTCCAATTCTTCCAGGTCTTTTGGTTCTTTGGGTTTATCGTTTGATAAAAAATGGCTATATTACATGCTTGCTGGAATGGTGGTCTATTTGGAGACTCATACTGCACTTGTTTTGGTGGCCTCGATCATGATATTTTTTTTTGAGAACCCCAAGGCTTGGGAGAACAAGCAGCGCAAGCCTTTGTAAGCCAACTTGATGTCATGAGGACGTGCCTTATTTATTTTAAGGGAGAGGGAATGTTAGGATCCTAGTTATTGGGTTTATATCTTTATGGTATTTTATCTTATCTTTGTAGTAGTTGACTTCATCCAACGGTTCTGAGGATAGAGATGTGTTCCCATCTAGGCACTGCTAGGGTTGTATATAAGCCTCATTTATCACTCCTACAGTTGGCTTCGCCATCTCTGTCACACCCACCACGCTTTCGGTCCCAGTCTCACAGTTGGGAGCTCGGCAGGCAATTCCAAATTCCAACCCAAAACCAATCTTGATTTCCTTCCAACTTTACAATAAAAGGTATTATCTTTTCCTCTTCTTCTTCTTCGTCTTCTTCTAATTTAGTTCCTACAATTTCATAATTTAGAATTACTTTATTTTATTTTTTATGTATAGATTGTAGATATGGGTAGGAAATTAGGAATCGAACGAACTCATATTGACTGTTTTTTCTGTTTCAACATTATTTTATTTTCTTTCCGTTTTTAGTTGACATACAATGTTGATCTTCTGCTATAAGATTATGGATTCAAAACCTAAAAAACGCCAGTCTAGTATAAGTTGTATAACCCCTTCGACTACAAGTTGATACATATTGCTGTGCTATTTGGTTTTCGGCCTTGGCTGGCTTCCCATGTTCATACATACATTTTGCATTGTGTTTAGCATCATCCTGCAACGAAATCTGTAATACATGACTTGTTAATTTTATTGAGAAAATGGCCTTCGTATTGTGGAAATGGTCAAATTGGTATAACTGGAATTTTCTCTTGCCCACTTATGGATGGACCGCAGTCACACAAGTGTAGAGTAAACTACAACTTTTCCTTTCTGCAAGGGTTCAGAGGAATTTAGATGTGCATGAGAACCATAGAGATTGATTTTAGCCGCGAACTTGGGATAGTTGTTCCTTTTTCTTTTCGTTTGCCCTTCCCTCATCTTAATATTAAGACTCTGATTTCTACTGCTTGAAATCAGTTGCTTTCACTTCATCGTTTGTGCTCTATCCCGTTTATGCTACCTATAACTTCAAACGAAGTTGTAAAACTTCTTGAAGTTAATTCTATGCTGGGTTTTTAAGATCTCTTATTGGTTTCTTCCTTGCTGCTGTACCCTTATGGTTGGGTGATTATTGTACTTTGTGATAGAATAGACTACCGGCCAGGATATATCCTTTTACAAATGTGGTCACTAACTCTATTTCATTTAATGTAGAGTTCTCGAAGGATGTGCTTTACTAACTGCTCCACTCATGCTCTATTTGTCTTAAAGTTTTATATATTTGTCAAATATTTGTGCCATTGCTGTGCTAGTTTGTTTCCTAATTCTTTTCCTGATACTTCTCTGTGCAGGCTAACAATTTCTGTAGTCCTTGAATTTACCAAAGGAAGCTGATTACTGGTTATCTCTCAGTGAAGAGTCATATAGCTTGGATTATATATGCACTCAGGAGTCCATATTCTTGAATAAAGAAAAAAAGTCTGTTTTTTGATTGGTGGTGTAGCCCATCCCCAACTAACAATCTTGGCTCTGCCATTGGCCAACTCCAATGGCATTTCCTAGAACCCAAAAGTCCAAACCAGTACCCAGTTCCCCAATCATATTCCTTTCCATCTGCATAGCTGCCATTGCACTCCTCTTCCTCTTCTCCCCTCTCATATCCACTAGTGGGTTCTATTTATCCTCACCAAAAATCCTAGAAAGCATGCCTGAGGACAAGTACAAGAACCAAAACCACCAAAGTGGCCACGAGAAGTACCTCTATTGGGCTGACAAAATTGATTGCCCTGGAAAGCACTGTGAGTCTTGTGCAGGATTGGGCCACCAGGAGTCAAGCCTTAGGCGTGCTCTTGAAGAGGCCATGTTCCTTTAGAGGTATGTTTTAAGTTTATAAAATCATTGAGTGTTTTTTCCTTCTGTTTTGGGGTTTATGATGTGTTTGGTTGCTGGAGAAATGTGGGAGAAACGAAATTGTAGAAGATCATATATGATATATCATAAAACCAGTTTAATGGGTAGAACTTCTAGGTTAGCTTTTTTAGATTTGGCAAGTTTTTGACCTTGTAGATCATATAGATTTGATTTTCTTGTTTTTGTAACAGGGAATTTCAGATTTCTTTTTATGGACTGCATGCCTTATAATATGTGATTAAGCAACCCCTAAACTAGTAGTTTCCATGAAATTTACCACCTAATTAATAGAACCAACACAGTACATTTTTTGCAACATTGTTTATTAATTTACTGTTGTTGTCTGCAGAACTTTTGTAATGCCTTCGAGAATGTGTCTCAACCCAATGCACAATAAGAAAGCAGTCCTTCATCACTCTAATGATGGAATTTCAGAAGAAAGGTAAGTTTGCACCTTTTAGTTGGGTTTCAAGAGAATGCCTTTTAGCTGTGGAATAGTTTTACTGCTATTTGTGGCAAAAAACATGCCATTTCCATGCTTAAAGTTTGCAATCTTCTCATAATAAAAAATATTACACCTGTAAGCGTGTAGGTTCAGATATGTAGTTTACCTCAATATCCTTTTTGTAAATACTTGTTTGGTTTATCAGAATGCATATAGCATACAATCTGAAGGGGCTTCATTTCATTTGTTAGAAGGGCAGCAAACTCTTGTTCCATGGACTCTTTGTATGATATGGATCTCATATCGGGCACTATACCAGTAATTTTAGACAATTCAAAAAAGTGGTATCAGGTGGTGGAAACAAGTATGAAGTTGGAAGCGAGAGGAGCTGCCCATGTGGAAGGAATTAGTCGTGTTGATCTCAAAGAAAACAGTCGTTTCTCAAATCTTTTAATCATAAACAGAACTGCAAGCCCTCTTTCATGATAAAATTTTATTTCATTTTCCTTTTTGGTAAAAGCTTTAGATTGGCTTCTTCAATGGTGATGAAGCATTAAACCTCTATTTTTTGTTGAAAGTGTGGATGTCAGTTGACTTGTGGAGATAATAGTTGTGCATATTTTGGGAAGAAAGATTAATTCTGGTATTTGATTATAACTTCTCAATAAAGGCTCAAGATCAATTCAATTTCTATAGATATGTTCTCCACCTAAAAATCATAATGGCCCAAATACAGTTTTTAGGTTTGTGATATCCGTAGCCTCTTACAACAATAATAACAACAACAAAGCCATATCCCAAAGTGGGGTCAGTTGTATGAATCCTAGAACGTCATTGCGCTCCGTTTTGTGTCGTCTTCCGTTAGCTCCAAGTACTCCATGTCTTTTCTTAAAGTCTCTTTTCCTAGGTCTTCCTCTACCCTTTTTGCCTTGAGCTTCTGTCTCATAATTGCATTTTCTAATCGGAGCATTTGTAGGTCTTTGGTTCCATAGCCTTTTGTTAGCAAATTTTTCAAAGGTGAGGCAAGGTCGTTTTGTTCCAGAAAGCGAGGCTTACTCGAGACATGAATTATTTAATTCAAAAGTTTTTAGGTAATATCAATAATAAAAAAGAGAGCGCCAAATAGAAAAGAGAACTAGAGAGTGGTTCAGGGGATGCAGCCTTAGGAGGCTGGTTTGTGTCTTTGGGAAGAAATCATGGTTTTGAAAATTTGATTTGGGGCTGAGTTGTGGGGGAAGAAGAAGCTGTTGGGGGATCTATAGGGAGTAAACAAAAACTGCAACTGTTTTACTGAAATCCAGCATGCAGAGTTTTGGTTTATAAACTCAGCATATAAATGAAACGGTTTGTTTCATAAGGGAACCAAATCACTTAAGAACATGATGTTATAGAGCCTTAATAACAGTAATGCAAGGAAAACAAAAACGGCATTGGTTTCACTGTCTTCTTTGCATGGGTTTTACGTCAGCTGCCATTGCAGACTCTGCAAGTTGCAGTGCCTCGCGCCCTGCAATCTGCTATACAGCACAACGCCTGAGGCGATTTACTGATAACTTGTTTTGACCTGCGCCTCAGAAACGCCATTCAAAATACTGGTTGTTACTTGATACCTCTAGTTATATTAATTTCCGAGTTTCTTGACTGAAAAACAACTGAGTTCCAATGCTTAGATATGAATATCGGTTTCACTTGGTTGAATGTTTTGCAAGTCTCTATTCAAGTTTTTGAAATAGAATGCTGTGTATTTCTTTTAGTTAAGAAATAACCAAGATATGTCTTTAGTTGAGGTTCATGAATATTAGATTATCAATTTTGGTTGTTTGAGGAATTCATAATGGCAGCCATATAGGTTTATGGAGTGCAAGGATCGAAAAAATCATAGTGCTATAATTTTGCCTCACTCCTTTCTCCCCTCAATGGTGGCAAAGAAGTGAAGAAGTGCAGTTGATAAGGTATGTATTATAGTTGATCCCACCAAGTTTAAATTCCTCGTCTAACTATTGTGTACAATTGCTCTTTCATCTGTTTGGTTATTTTATACAGGTCTGGTATATATATGCTATCTATAAACATATTCCAGTAAGTTATTATAACTAAGACTGGAGATGTTGTTGGCAACCCTCAAAGTTTTGATTTTTCCCAAGTCTCCATATATGTGATCGATCGCTGACTCAATTGTGCATTGGCCACCCTAACCACACACTAATTATTTTTATTTTTATTTTGTTAACATATTAATAAATTTGGGATAGGATTTTGACTTGTAAGAAATAAGATAAGAATGAATTATATTGCAGAATTATCCTAGGCCCTTCTGTTTCCCCTTGAATTATTTCATTTGCATCTCAGTGCTGTTACTGACTTTAACCAAACCATTTCCACAGATTAAAGAACTCCAAGGTGATTATGATGCCATTCATGTTCGTCGTGGTGATATTTTAAAGACCAGGATGGACAGGTTTGGCGTCAGCATGACCCTGCATCCTCATACTCACCCAGAGTTTATTCTCCGTAGAATTGAAAAATGGGTCCCATCTGGACGAACTCTTTATATTGCTCAAATGAGGGGACACGGGGAATTTTTTCACCTCTTTCAGTCTGGTAAGTCCTTTTCAGGCATGTTCAGGTTCTGTTCACCATCTACTTTAGAGATGAAAACCTGTGTTCAATGTGCTTAAACGAACTATTTGTGTCAGACTGTCAGTTATTTCTTCTGGCTAGCTATGGTTTAACTTAATCCCTCAGGTACTACTGAGTTTGCTATGAAGTCCAAGTACCATTGGCAGAAAATGTGTAGGGTTCAGGTTTAATAAGTACAATGTATTTGGAAAGATCTTATGGATTAGCTAATACTGAAGTAGTCGAGCCAAAGAACATTTGTATAAGCTTTTAAATTATTTGATACTGCAGTTTTGAACATTCATGTCCGAAAGAATAATGCGTTTGATCTGCGCATGCACTATGATCTCTGAAGTGATCTAATGCTCTCTGTCTAACAAACTTCACGTTAATCTCCTGTCACTGTTCTAGTTTTGCATATGGAATTTCAATTTGCATGTGGTCTAATAGCCTAGCGTATAGGGTTTTCACCCATGCGTCCGAGTTTCGAAACTTCCCACTCCCTAAATTATTGTAATAGTTTCGAATCCTCCCCCCTCACATTAATAATAATAAATTTTTAAAAAAATATGACTATTTTTTCTGATTGTGCTGTCATTAACTTGAAGGTCCTTTTGGCTATGAAAGAATTGTTCAAGGGACACACCATTATCGCACGGGGCTAAAGGGACTCACCCATCACGTGGCAGTATAATATGAGCCCGCTCCCTGGCTCTGATACCATGTAAAATTATTAGAGATAGGACGAATGCCCACTTCCAACAACACCAATAGTGTCCCCAACTAGATAAAACCCCACACTTGATAGATTGTGCAGGTTGTAATTACCAAGTTGGGGATAGGATCGGTGTTGTTGGAAGTGGGCCTTCGGCCCGTCTCTGATAATTCTACATGGTATCAGAGCCAAGGAGTAGGCCCATATTGTAATACTTTCGAATCCTCCCCTCACATTACAACAACAACAAAGCATTTTCTCACTGAGTGGGGTCGGTTATATGAATCTTAGAAAGCCATTGCGGTTGGTTCTGTGTCACGTCTTACGTTAAATCCAAGTACTCTTAAGTTTTTTCTTAGTCTTTTTTAAAGTCTTCCTGGGTCTTTCTCTACCCCTTTGGTCCTGAACCTTTGGTCTGTGATCACATCTTCTAACCGAAGCTTCAATAGGCATTCGTTTTACATGTCCAAACCACCATAACCGATTTCTCTCATTTTTCCTTCAATTTCGGCTACTCCTTGTTTACCTCGGATATCCTCATTCCTAATCTTATCCTTTCTCGTGTGCCTACACAATCAACAAAGCATTCTCATATGTACGTGTTGATACTTCACCGCCCAACATTATATGCCATAAAGCATTGCCAGCCTATAAAATTTTCCCTTGAGTTTTAGTGGTATACGATGGTCACACAACACGGCGGATGCACTCTTCCACTTCATCTATCTAGCTTGTATTCTATGGTTGAGGTATCTATTCAATTCTCCGTTCTTTTGCAAGACAGATCCTAGGTAGCGAAAACAGTCGCTCTTTGGTACTTCCTGGTCTCCAATCCTCACCTCTAACTCATTTGAGCCTCTGTTTGCACTGAATTTCCACTCCATATACTTTGTTTTTGACCGACTTAGGCGAAAATCTTTAGAATCCAACACTTTTCTCCAAAGGTTAAGCTTCGCATTTACTCTTTCAAGAGTTTCATCTATCAACACTATATCGTATGCGAAAATCATACACCAAGGAATATTATCTTGAATATGTCTCGTTAACTCATCCATTACCAATGCAAAAGGTAAGGACGTAAAGATGAGCTTTGATCATGGTCTAAAATATCCATAATATCCCGATATTTTCATCGAAATTTCCGTGTTTTTGGACCATCGATATTTCCGATATCATCGATATTTTAGACCTTGCTAAGTCACTCATGTATCTTACCATTTAATGTATAAAGTATAAAATATTGTACTAATTCATTATATATAAATGATTATGGTGTGTTTAAATTTCTTTCATTAATTACTACATATTTTCTACACTCACAATGTTTGTCAGCTCGCTATATATTCAACTTAAATCAGTTATATCTATCATGCAATGCATTTCCTTCCAATTTTTTGTGATAAACTAATAGATAATTGACTAAATAAACATCCTGCAAAATTTCAATAAAAATTTCCAAGTTTTTTTTTACAATTTTCGTGGTTTTTATTCAATTTTTATCAATATCGATAATATCCCGATATTTCCATCGAAATTTCCGTGTTTTTGGACTACCGATATTTCCGATATCATCAATATTTAATACCTTGGCCTTGATGTAACCCTACAGTTATGGGGAAGCGTTTGGTTTGTCCTTCATGAGTTCTTACGACAGTCCTTGCTCTGTTATACATATCCTTTTATAGCTTGGATATATGCTACTCGTACTCCTTTTTTCTCTAAAATTCTCCAAAGAATGTCTCTTGGAACCCTATCATATGCTTTTTCCAAATCTATAAAGACCATGTGCAAGTCTTTTTTCATATCTCTATATCTTTCCATCGAAATTCGTAAAAGATAAATTGCCTTCATGGTAAAGCGTCCTGGCATGAACTCGAATTGGTTGTTCGAGACCCGTGTCTCTTCCCTCAGTCTATGCTCAATTACTCTCTCCCAGAGCTTCATTGTATGACTCATTAACTTAATACCCTTATAGTTTATGAAATTTTGTACGTCACCTTTATTCTTGTAGATATGCATCAAAGTGCTCTTTCGCCACTCATTTGACATCTTCTTCGTTTTCAGAATTCTATTGAAAAAGTATGTGAGCCATGCTATACTCGTCTTTTCCAAGATTTTCCACACTTTGATCAGTATCAAGGTTCTAAAAGATGTTAGGCGTTAGTCGGGCGGCGGGCTAAGACCTAACGCCTAGGTGGCTAGATAGGGTCTAGGCGGCCGCCTAGGTGGATTTAAGTAAATCCATTATATTTCGTGTAAATAAGTGTCTGTTAATACTTAAAATATATTGAAAAAAATTAAATGCAAATTGAAAGTTATCCATTTTTTGTTTAAGTGAGTCGCAACCTAGGCAGATGCCTAGACGGGTCTGGGCGGGTGTCTAGATGGTCTAGGTGGGAGCCTCAGCTGATCTATGCGTCATTTCTTAATTTTCAAACGCCCAGGCATTAATCGGGGCAGTGATCAGACTAGGCGCTATGCAGAGATTTTTAGAATAGTGATCGGTATATCATTTGGGCCTATTGCTTTTCTATGCTTCATCTTTTTCAAAGCTACAATCACTTATTCCTTTCTAATTTGGCGGTAGAAGGAGTAGTTTCTACACTCTTCTTAATTACCCAACTCCCCCAAACAAGTACTCCTTTCACGTCCTTTATTGAAAAGATTATGAAAATAACCTTTTCATCTATCTTTGATCTTGTTCTCTGTAGCAAGAACCTTTCCATTCTCATCCTTGATGCACCTCACTTGGTTTAAGTCCCTTGTCTTCTTTTCGCTTGCTCTAGCTAGTTTATAGATATCTCACTCTCCTTCTTTGGTATCTAGTCGCTTATACATATCGTCCAAAGCCACTAGCTTAGCCTCTCTCACAACTTTCTTTGCCTCCTTCTTCGCTATTCTAAACCTTTCACCGTTCTCATCGGTCTTATCCTTGTATAAGGCTTTACAATGTTCATTCTTAGCCTTAACCTTTGTCTGTACCTCCTCCTTCCACCACCATGATTCCTTTTGGCATGGAGCGAAGCCCTTGGACTCTCCTAATACCCTTTTTGCTACTTTTCGGATACAACTGGCCATGGAATCTCACATTTAGCTAGCTTCCCCCTCTCTATCCCAAACACATTGGGTGATTACTTTCTCTTTGAAAATGACTTGTTTTTCTCTTTTTAGATTCCACCATCTAGTCCTTGGGCACTTCAAGGTCTTGTTCTTTTTCCTCTCTTTTGATATGTACATCATCATTAACAAGCGATGTTGATTAGCCAAGCTCTCTCCCGGTACAACATTGCAATCCTTACAAGTTATACAATCCCCCTTCCTCATTAGAAAAAAATCTATTTGTGTTTTTGACGACCCACTCTTGTAGGTGATAACATGTTCTTCTCTCTTCTTAAAGAAGGTGTTGGCTAATAATAGATCATATGCCATTGCAAAATCCAAGATGGCTTCCCCATCCTTATTTCTCTCCCCAAAACCATGGCCATTAAGAAAACCTCCATAGTTGCTTGTCTCCTTGCCCACGTGTCCATTTAAATCTCCTCATATAAATACCTTTTCTGTCTGAGCGATTCCTTGCACCAAGTCTCCAAGGTCTTCCCAAAATTTCTCCTGCAAACTCGTATCCATCCCTACTTGAGGTGTGTACGCACTAATCACATTGATGAGTTCTTGTCCTATTACAATTTTGATTGCCATAATTCTATCTCTTACCCTCTTAACATCTACAACATCTTGTGTCAAGGTCTTGTCTACGATGATGCCAACACTATTTCTTGTTCTATTTTTGCTCGAATACCAAAGTTTAAAACATAAGTTTTCGAGATCCTTTGCCTTAAGACCAATCCACTTAGTTTCTTAGAGGCACATAAAACTTATCCTTCTCCTCACCATAACTTCCACTACTTCCATAGATTTTCCCGTTAAGATTCCTAGCGTGTCCTGTGTAAAGTTGATAGGATTAGATGCTTCCAAATAACTTTGAGTGGAGTCGTTCAAAAGAAGTTTCTATGCCCCCCTTGCTCATTTAACACTGCATCCAAACGCCGATGAAGATACAACGACCCTTACTCACTCATCATTGTACTTGGGCCACACAGTGTGCCACTTACGGGTGATGACCTATCTTTAGCACAATTTCGTTCATGATTCATTATCATAATGATTTGACATAAAATAGGAATGCCGGCTGTCTACTACCTGACGCCCTCCCACTCTTTTATCGGGACTTGGGATCGGCAATGTAAGATAAACTTAATAATAATAAATTAAAAATATATATTACTATTTTTTCTGATTGTGCTGTCATTAACTGTTCCAAGGGGTTAAATTTGTCGTACAAAGTTCTTGCTGGCCTTGTTTCTGGCCATGCATATATATGCAGATACAAATTGGCGTATTCGTGGAACTATAGCCACATCTTGGAACCCATGATTGAGAATAACTACCAGCTCTACATGATTGAGAATAACTACCAGCTCTACATGATGGGTGCAAAACATTCATCAACACATTTAAAGAAGATGATTCAGATCTCAATCTTACTAATGACCAAAAGAAGAACACCAAGGTGTGGCAAATACCAGTT